TAACCATCCAAGCAAACCTAGAAGACTTTTTGTGCCTGGCTTGTATTTTTTTTTTTTTTTTCACCAATGCAACACTATCACTCAAAAGTGTTTAACAGTGAATGAGTCAGACCATGAGCTGTCAGTGAATTAGATTGTGCTCCCGATCTTAACGAGATTATCTGTGTGATATACTACCTTCCCAGGCAATTAAAGCATTAGTGCTTTGGCCAAAATGTAACAATAGTCAAAGGGGTTAACAGGCTAAAGAATTTTATATAGAAGGGAGTCAAAGGGAGCAGTTTGACTCTCTGGGAAACAAGAGAAACTGGGTTTTATTTTACGTTTGTGGGCATTTCAAAGTCAATACCTGTACTACAAGCAGAAGGCAGTGGATTGCAGAAATATTTATGCGCCCAAGGAATCATCCTTAAAAGTAAATGTTTCGTTCAATGAGTTTCTTGTGCAATAGGTTGCCTGGGGGCTGCACACCCCCTGACACCCACTTAGGGGGAGGATGTGCAGCACTACCCATTGCTTCCATTCCCACACTATGTCTTACTTTCCTTGACTTCCCTTTTTAGCTGTTATCAGGTCCAGCTGGTGTACTACAGCTGCTAAAGATGCTTTTCCGCAGCCACATTACCCAGTTCTCTCCAGCACTCCTTTTTCACAATTTGTGTCCCTCAAGAGACATTATAAATCCTATTAACTTTGAACTCTGGCCCAGCCTTGGTAAGAACACAAGCCTACCCTCACATTTAGACATCATTACTTTTCCAAAGTATTTCAGTTGGCAATCACACTTCCTGTGGCCGGCACAGATCCTCTCCAAAGGGGGATGTTGGGAAGCCAGGCAAACGATGCCACGAGGTGATGCTTTCAGGGGAGGGGGACCTTAGAATCGCACCCTTGGCAAATCTGTGCCTGATTTGAACCTGTGACTTAACTTTTCTCCGAAATTCTGTGAAATTCAGTGAGTATTCTGTAGATAGTGCTATTGGTATTATTCTAGTCATGTTATTGTCTTTTATCATGCCCTTTAGCAACACAGCGTTTTTCTTTTCCAACCGCGTCTGTGTGCTATTATGGTAAACCGTGAGGATGTGTTTTTGACCATTCATGAATTGATTCTGTGCCTGCCTGCTCTGTGGAATTTTTAGAACATTTAATTTCTTGCTTCTTTCTCCAGTTTCAGAGCAGTTCTAGAACATTTCCAGAAAAAAATTAGCTGTTGTAACTCCTTTCTGACCGATTACTGCTCTCGGGTAGTAAAAGTACAGACAAAACAGCATCAGTATTACTTAATTTTACTTCTTCCAGATTCTTACTCAAAGGCTTGTCATAGTCTTAAGTGTAAAGGCTAAAGTTATGCATGTTCTTCTAGGTCATTTAATGCATTATTATCAGGAGTTGTGTCTGAGGTTCCAAAGAGTGTTCCCTGATGCCACTGTACTGTGGATGCTTTTCACTATTATGAAACTTACCAGGGACCAAATCTGCTTGAAGTATTTAGGGTGCACAAAAGTAATCCCTAAAGTTATTGCCTACTCTGAAGAGTACAGCTGTAGTAGTCTAGGTCTTCAAATATCTGTGTGATGAGGACTAGAGAACAACTCAGTTGTCATCTTTTTTCACCAAGACATTTTCACAGAATCATAGAAACATAGAATCATAGAATAGTTTGAGTTGGAAGGGACCATGGAGGTCATCGAGTCCAATCCCTGTGCAGTAAGCGGGGACATCTTCCACTAGATCAGGTTGCCCAGAGCCCCATCCAACCTGACCTTGAATGTCATGCTCTTCCTCGCTGGTTCAGATCCAGCATGCCACCACCCAGAGATGTGTGGTGGTATTGGGAGAAGGTAGCAACTTTTAGATAGTAAGAAGGTGTATGAAGAGAGGAAGGCAGCACAGAACTACAGGTGATGCCTTTCAGCATCCTCTTCTCTTGTTCTTGAAAGTTCTCCTTTTCCCTCCCGTCCTGGTCTTCTCTTCCCACATCCCCTCCCCCCCATCTCTTCCATTTTTGCACCTCTGAAATTGTGTAACTGGGGCATTATATGCTGCTTCTCCTCCTGTTATTACTTTCCCCAAGTGGAAGCTTCACTCACAAGCCTGACGAGACATTTTTTTGCTCGAACCCAGGGTGCCAATTCTCACTTTGTCAAGAGCTCCCGATAACCTTCATGAAGAGTTCCTCTCCCCCTGCCTCCTGCGAACACTCCAGGTCACAGAGATCTTATCACCATCACCGAAGAGCTCCTTCTCTCTCTTTTTTCCTCCTCTTTTCTGCCCAGTGTTGCTGCTCGGATCTCTCAGTTTCTCTTTGTCTTCTCTTTTGCCATTCCCTCCTGCTCAATTGTGAGTTTCTCTAACACTAACCCACATATGAACTCTCCAGTTGGCTTGCTTCTTGCTTCTGCCCTTTCTTTCCCCTACAAAAAGATTCTCTTAACCACAGATGAAATTCAAATTACACAAACACGCTATTTTCTATGCCCAAAAAGTAAGTAGAAGTGGAGCAAACCAAAACCCATGTCTTTTTCCGTTTGCAAGTTTTTGATTCCCCATTCTGTTAACCAGCAGTCGGTGTAAAGTGTTAGCTTTACACTTTAGAGAGTTTTGCTAACTTTAGAGTTACTGGAGCCCCAGCAATTGATCTGGCTATCAGTTACAAATATAAACAACTTTTTTACAAATTGACACAAGCCACGCTCCTTCCCAGATGATATTTCCACCAAGCATCCAAAGACTCCAATAGCTCCCCATAAATATTAATGCTCTGAGTACCTGTACCCCATGGCAAGTACGAGCCCAGAAAAAAAAAATTTTAGCTTTGTTACTGCTTACGGAATTGAGGATGAGCCACAGTTTTGACATAATCCTGTCTAGTAAGTGCTGTTTCCAAGTCCTGGTTTCAAAGCACTGTGCTGGACCGATCATGTACAGCAAAGTTCTTGAAAAGGGTTCTCACTGAGCAGATAACTGCAGATTTGTATCCAATAATTTATTGTGTAGGCATTAAACCATTCATATCACAAACACCTGTGCAAGCCAGTTGGCCTAGTCAATTCTTGTTTAACATTTAATTATGAATATAATTAGCATGAGTTAAGAGACAGCCCAGGCATCCGCAATAAAATTTCCACTATGCTAAAAAATTATAATAATGAAAAAGACTAAGTTGGGGGAGAATACGTCCCTCCTGAGCAAACTTTTGGATGACAGCAAAATCAAAGTACAAATTATTTTAAAACTTCTTAATTTGCTTTGATGGTAATTGTAGAACCTCCAGCAGATTTATGACACCAAATCATTTTTTTTTTCTGTTCCTTTAATATTAAGGTGTTTTTCATCACTGGTGTAACCCTTTCAGTGAGGTTCCTCAGATTCTCCTCTTTTCCTCGAGAGGTAAATTAGCTGATTTGCTGCTGTCACTGGAACACTGTGTTAGGAAAAGTTCATGGGATGGGAGGGAACTAGTTAAAATATTATCTCAGTGCACATCTAAGAATTTTATGGTGTGCTTTTTGTAGCCCAACAGAATTGTGTGTTAACAGAAGGGATTAGTAAAGATAACAATATATCTAATTTTAAAGGCAAATGCCCATGTTTAGGAAAAATAAAAGCAAAGCCAATCTAGAATCAGGATCCCTGTGGACAGGTGTTACCTGGGCTTCCTCCACAGAACAAAGCCCTGCAGAGGAGCTAAACCTTCATTTGTAGATTTTCTTTTCATTTCACTTCCAACAACTTAGTTAAAACTTTCTAAGAAAAAAAAAAAAGGAGGAAAAGTTTTACCTACTAATTTTCTTCTCCATGTCCTTTATTTCTGAACATGTTGGGCTATTTTCCACCTCAAAAGAAAAAAATCTATACATAGACATGCACTCTTTTATTTTTTTTTTTTATTTATTTTTTTTTTTTTTCCCTAGAAGGGTTGCTTCCAGACCTGGAAAGACCTATTTAAAAATGCTGCTGAGCAGGAACAGTTCGCAACTGTGAAGCGAAGGTCATTGGAAGACAACTAGGATGTTACTGGGACATATTGTTCCTTGACACCTCCTGGGAGCAAAAAGCCTGGAACGAACCTCTTTAGTTACTGTTTTACAGCTTAAATATGTTTGTAGCCAGTTTATACACGCCTTCTGTGGAATATTGTTCTTTAGTTTAAACTGCAATTTCTCATCTATTTTTTGTTGCTTATTGATTTCACTCAGGATGATCATATACATTTTTGTCTGTATTTTCTTAACACCTACAGATTATAAGCCTTCTCTTCTAGTCTCTCTGTGTCCTATAGCATCTTAGCATCTCTTCTAAAATGTGAGGGTTTCTTCTTTCTGTTCCAATATCAGTTAATCATTCCTGAATCTGAATTTCACACAACTTTCTGGATAGGGTTTCAAAAAGCTTTCCAGAATGGATTTACTGGTTCTTAATCTCCACTGAAAATACCTAGTACCTCTTTCAGAATGAGCTGTTACTATTGTTAGTATTCTTGTGCTTGAGAGAATACATATGTCTACAGATATACCATACGTTTCTTCATATATTTGCATAGGTGGATATCCCTGAGATTATGCTACCCACAAAATCATTCCTTTTTTTAAGAAATCTTTTAAAGTGTTGCACATCAACTTTTGAATACTTCTTGTTTCAATTCATTTTTTGTCCTGGTCACATTTAGTTTATGGATTTCTACTGCCTTCTAATTCTTAGATTTGGCCAAAAGGGTATTAATTATGATTTATTATGTGAGATATATTTTGGTGACCTCAGATTTGTTTATAAAACACCATGTTCACATGAAATTGAGGCTTTCTGATGCCATGCCAAACCCCAAAACTTCCTTGGACAAGTAAATAGAGGATAGGAAAATGATTTCAATAGGAGGCTCGCCAACTGCGAGTCTGAAGGCAGTTTGATTAGGACTCGAAGCCCACAGATTGAGATTATGACAGAAATTTGCATAATGCCAGAGACTGATAAAATTTGGTTTCTCAGGAACCTATTACGTGATGATGTTAAGAGACTGTCATGGATTTCTTACAGTGCAATATGCTGACTTATCTTTCCAAGACGACTTGGCCTTGAGCCTTGTTCTTTGTAAGCCTCGAGTGAGGTTTCTTTAGACGTCTTTTGAAAATTTCTTTAGACATCTTTTGTAACTTTCCACCAAGATGATACAAGGATGTTATGACTGTCAGAATAAATGAATGTATTTACTTCCTCTCTGCTTCCCAGCTACTATTTTCATAACACTGCATAGTAGTTCAGAGCAGGTCCATGTTCTTTGATCATCATTATGTACTGATGACTAGATTTGCTTATTGCCTCCCGACACAGTTTTTTTGCCAGATTTTGGTGGAGCCAGCTTCTGTGCAAACTCCTCAGCAGTTGCATTATTCAGTGCAAACTTTGCTATGGCCTGCTGAAGACCGAAGCATGATCGTTGCCCAGATAGACATGAGTTTTTGCAACATGTTGGCTCAAACAGTGCAGGCAGTGGATTCTGAGGGGACCTTTCTGAAGCAAGACCAGGCTCAGAGAAAACCTTTTTACTGGTGCCAGCCATCCTGGAGATGAAGACAACTGACCTACATGGAGAGAACTGACAACTACTGATAGCACTGTTAGCTTTTTGAAAGTTTTAAAAAAAATCTATCATTCCTGTGAAAGAAGAGTTTATTGCTGTGCTATGTTGTTATAGATTTTGTCAGACAAAAGCAGTGAAGACCAGTATCTCATACCAGCAAAACTGTAATAAATTTTTTATATAACATCTTTCAATAACCAAATAAGTTATAAAACTTATAAGCTAAATAACCATCTTTGGTTTCCGTATATTAGGGTAACACATAACGTTACAGGATTGGTAGGAACGACACTGTGAATTCGGATTAGCATGCACCAGGAGACCCTAATTGATATATTGAAAAGATATGTGTGAAATCAGTTGAAAAAAAAGTGTTAATGGTCTATCAGAGCAATAAAAAAAAAAAAAAAGAAAAAGAAAAGAAATTTAGATTTTGAAAAAACAAAAAGTATGTAAGTGTCTAATGTGGACCTGACATTGTGTCTAGGCACTTAAATTCATAATTTCTCCAGGAGCTTGGTGGCTCATGTGGATCCCATGTTTTCTATTCCTCTTACTGAGGCCTGAGGTATCTTATATTAGGTTGTGGATTCCACTTGAAAGCCTGCAAGTCAGATTTTGCAAGACTACACTTTTATTGATCTCATCCCTGTGTGCTCATCTGCCTTATGTGGGAAACCCACAGCAGTAACAGATACCTTCATTCAGAAAACTGTCTGCAGGAGAATCATAATTCTGGCAAAAAGATTTCTATTTAGACCATATACATATATATACATCTGTCTCTCTGTGTATGCACTTTAAACAATAAATCATCTGTTTATCTACAGTACTTACGTGACACCTATTAAATTCGTATTAGAGATAAGGAACAGAAATGAAGGCAGAATCACTAGACCTCATTGAAAAAAAAGTCTTTCCAATGTAGTAATCTTTCCATCCTTTTACAGAGAAAATCAAAGACCTGAACTCAAACCTTCCAAACCAGAGACAGATGTTGCAGCTTTGGGAACTAGGTGGAATTTTCCTTTGTGGAATACCAGTGAGGTTTCTTTTTTTTTTTTTTTTTCATTTTTTTTTCTTTTTTTTTTTTTTTTTGTAGCTGCAGTTGGATGGATGCACTGCCTATACAGATACATAGTCTATACAGATGCACAGTCTATATAGTTTTCTGCAGTTGAAAAGATCTGGAAGGACTAGTCGGCATTTGAATACTTCCTAAACTGTGGATATCAGCCATCGTTGCACAGAAAACTGTAGCAGACGATTAGGTTTTTTTTCCATGCCTTCTGCCTGAGTCCTTTCAAGAAAACTAGTTCAATTAAAATTAAGATTTATAATCAACTAACAAATTTACCTGTTAATATTTGTTAACAGATTTTTGGGGGTAGATCTTTTTTTGTTTCGGGTGCTGAAGTCCTAGCATAAGCCTGCATGGCCATGCGGGTTGAGTTCTGTAAATAAGGTGATTAAGTGTTTCAGCTATTGGCACTTCTACCACCTTACTCGCATGAAGCACAATTTTACTTGCAGACAATCTGTTGAGCCACGTCTGTTGATCTTCTAGAAAATCAATAGAACTATTTGCGGTGCTAAGTAATTTAAGTGTGGCTGAACCTGTCTTCATAGCAGCATTTGGGCACATTTCAGAAGTACATATTTCATCCAAAATACCACAAAATGATTTGCCAGTAATATTCTAGACAAAGCCCTTGGAAAAAAAAAAAAAAAAAACCTGCTTCCCAAATCCTAAGAAACAAAATTAATATTAGGTCAGAGGTCTTGTGGCCTTCCATTTATCATTTACAAATTATCCGATATAAGCTATATGGCCAGTAATTATCCAGCTTCAGCCTGGCAAGCACAATTCCGAGATTCTATAATGTCCTGAATTATATTCTAATTTTCTGGTCATATCTAAATTGTTCTAATATTATGGCCCTATCTGAAGTTATTTATAGGGGAAATTGAAGGTGGAGAGCAAGCATTTTGCCTAATACACAGTACTGTAAAATTTTGTTCCCATGCACATAATAGGGATGTTAATTAAAACAGCATCATCCAGGAAAAGTAATACTAAGCTTGCGATGGATTTTTTTCACACAATCTTTAAAAACGCATCAGTACAAGAAGTCCAAGGCACTTCTTGGGTACTCATTCCTCCTGAACCTTCTAGCTGAATTACTATATCCCCAAGAAATCTTACTGGTAACCTGTTACTACCTACTACAGGTAAGTTTTTAGACCACTTCATCTTACTTACCAAATGTATGGCTCTAAGGGGTGCTCAGCACCAGAGCAAGGATATAACCATCACAGCAGTGTGGGAATATGTCCTAATTACCTTCTTCCTAGCCATCATCAGGTTGTTTTACTTCTGGCCTTAAGTGCTCCTTCTAACTGCACTGCACACCCACACGCTAATAATTCCCATTTTTGAAGAATAGACAGAAAAGACAGAGAGGCAAGAGCCTCTTTTTTCACAACAGCTTGAAGAAGAAGGGAAATTTTCTAGCTGTGCAGTACTGACTCTACACAGGTAATTAGTACAAAGTAGCCAAAGAATCAGCTGCAATGGAGATGATATTGAAGAAAAGAAATTTTTCACTTTGCCTCAGGACTATTAACATACAGAAGAGCTCCAAAAAGACCGAAAACACCTAATTGTTTTTTATAGACATTTTTAAAGTAGAGTTGCTAAGAATACAGATTTGTAGATACTATGGCAGTAAAGGCCAAATAAAGAGAAGATTGATTGGAAATCGTAGATTACTTTGGACAGTTGGATTAGGTAGAAATCACCCTGATGTGCAGTAAAGCAAGCAACAAGAATTAGGGGTTTGAAATAGTGCGAGGCATGTCTTAGAGTGCTAGCATTTTCTTCCTAGGAATAAACTGTCTTAAAATCCCCCTATAAATGACTGTTCATTAGCCTATCAATGTGTATAATGGCTCTCAAAATCATAATAAGAATTAATAATAGTTCAAATACCAGAAAAGGACATTAATTTCTCACTCATGAATATTAATGCTTTCGTAGACTGTCTCTTCCCGACATGCTTTCAAACTCTAAATTCGCAAGTCTATTACGACTTACCTGATATTTTTACTATCAAAAACCTTCCCATTGAGCCACCAAAAGATTTCAAATCACCCTGACTTGGACACTAGCAGAGAGGATGAGAACAGAAGACAGCACGAATGATGAGACCACGGTGTCCTGATGATGTTCTTCAGAATACAACAGTGTTTGCTCAGCCCAAGCGCACACCAAAGGGCCATGAAAAGTAACGATAAGGAGGAGGAAGACTATATGTAGCCCCAGAGGACCACTGTGATGGTGGATTATCAGGAAGAGAAAGTGATAATGGCAAAGGATAGGTGTTAAATACTTGACTGCAGAATAAGGTGTGTAAGAGATGCAAACTGTATGCCAGGCTGTGCCCCATGAACCGACTGCGTCCGCTTAAGGCACTGCATCTTCTCCTTTCCGACAGGACATAGCCAGTGGATGGAGAACCACCTGAAGGTCACGTACAAGTGCTGGTGCTTCAATAAGCATCTTATGCTACTGCATCGCAGAAACTGGAGCTGAACAGCAAGATATTCTTTATTGTTTTTTCCCTTCTTAGCACCGCAGAGACTGTGCAACAGCAATTTAAACTCAAGAGACGATGTTCTCCATCTAGTTTCCACGTGCTTTGAAAGGAGAAGAAAGAGAGCTGCCAAGAGTAAACTTCCAGGTAAAGCATTTCTTTACGTTGTGTATTTAACTGCCCTGCATCTCAAAAGAAGCGAGAAGGGAAGGATCTTGTGAGATGTATTTAACCTCATTATATCTGATGCTGGGTCGTGAAAAGCTTTAGTTGAACTAAAGACTCTTATGAATATAAAATCAAAGTGAGCCGTACATTAAGGGTTTCATGGTCTCCGACAGCTGCGCATGTGCACACACAGCTCTCATTAACAGTGATGGCAAATATCCGTGCCCATCCTGCAGAAAACACAGCTCTAAGTACTTTATTTGGTTTGTTTGGTTTTTTTTTTCCTAGAGATTTTTCTCTATTGGACCTTTAATTAATCTCCTACTAGGCTTTTTCCCTTTAAGCTATCCATCTCCCCTCCACTTTCCAATGGGAGTAACCCTCAAATCACTGTTTTTTAGTCAAGTTTTTCCGAGCTGATACAGTTGTACAAAATGCACCTGCACACATGAAATACAGAGAGGGTTTTGCAGCACAGAAACCACACAGACACATAACAGAATAAATGCCTTGGACTTTGAAAAGACTTTAGATGCCTCCCAACATAAAAAAAAAAAAAAAAAAAGCAAAGCTAGATGTGAAAACGAGAACATGAATGTTTTTACATTCATTTTGCGATCACTACAAGGCAAGAGTCTGCAACCTTGTGGAACAAAACACACACATTTCATTCTGATTAACATAAAGACAGCCCCTTCTAACATGATTCACAATTATTAGTCTCTCTCTTGTGTTTGGGGATATATGGATTATCAGCCTAGCATATTTTGAATACATACACATTTTAATTCCTTCCTTAAACCATTTTAGGCACTACAGTTAAATCGCATCTACAAAATTTATAGATCAATAATTCAATATTTTTTCCTGCAGTTAAATAACTAAATGCTGTAGGAGATGAAAGGCAGTCAAAAACAATAAAAAGACAGGACGACGGATAATGGAAGGTAAGTCAGATCTGAGATGCCTCTGCTCTTCTATTTTTAAGTTTGTTATTATTTTTATATAACAGGCTATTTCACTAGCTGCTACTGTATCTGATGTACTTACTTATCGCCTCCACAAACTGTTCAAAGAAGCAGTATGGGAACAGCGGCTCAGGCAGCTCTCTGAAAAACATCTTGAGTGCTCCGGTGACAACGTGGATGTCCTCCCACTGGCTGTCGTCCAAATTCAGCTTCTCTTCTGGGAAAACACGAGGAGAAATGGAACAACTGGTTTTAATGAAACAATTACAAGACACTAATTATTATGTTAATGTTTGCCTACTATCATCAGCAACCGTTAACAGCCTTCTGCACCTAGAGGTTTGGTGCTGTGCATGGTTTTTTTTTTCTTTTTTTTTCTTCTTTTTTTTTGTAGGAAGAGAACATTTTCAATGGAATACCATCTGTAGGAATGCAGCTAACAAAAAAACAAGAGACACAAAGAGACAGTACCATTGACACAGTATGTCAGATACATTTATTCCCATAATGCATCAGGATGAAAATTAGCATCACAGCTCAACATGATTCAAAGCTATTTGGTTTTGAGGCCGAGGGGCTAAGAGTTGCCAATGATGGCCGGCTCAAGGGACCGGCCTAAAGGCCTTGCTGAGCCAACAGGAGACATATGCTAAACATGGCAATAGAAAATGAGTTATTGCTTTACATGTGTTAGCCTTGCTATGTACAAGGGAATAATGGGTACCGCTTTTCTTTTTTTTTTTTTCTTTTTTTTTTTTGCCTGAATTTAATGTCAGCAAGGAATAGAGTACTGTGAGAGAAAGGATATTAATTCCTTCTTACTGCTTCAAAAATATTTTGTTTGGTTTTCATCTCTGGGAGGAAGATTTGCCCAGCAACAATATTAGACAGACCCCTGTTGGCCTACCTAGGCTATGCAAAGCTGTCAAAAATGATAACACACTAAAGGCAAACCACAAGTGCTTACAAAACTGTTTTGCAAACAAAACAAAAAAAAAATGTTTTCTTTTGAAGCTTGACTGAGCTAAGGAATTTCAATATAAAAGAAGCTAAATGCTAAAATAGAGTTTCTAATAAAAATAAAGTGAGATTGGATGATTATTCTATTTTTCTTCAGTTTTGTTTTTTTTTTTTTAATTCCAGTAGTGTAATACTGTTGGAAAATAATAAACAGTGAGATCATAATCCATATAAAACTCTAGGAAAGTGCAAATCCTTATTAGTCCAAATTAAAATGACATACACTTTCTCCAAGTTCTGGTACTCCAAAAATGGAGTTCGCTTTTTATCACATGTGCTACGATTCTCTTTTTTTAGAAAATTTCAGTCTGAATGCAAATCAAGGGCCAACCCTAAAAACTACAGAACACATTTAATCTGAAGCAACATAATCCTGAAATGTTTTACTGAATGTCACTGAAATTTCATGTTTGGCAATTCAGCTGGCTTCAACATCAGGCTCTTTACTGAACTGTTGTTAAACATAATGGTAAAATTATTGGAGACACATGGAGACCCACAACTCCAGATCCCTGGTACTTTAATCCAATAGTTTTCTCACTATAGAGTTTGCTTTTTGGACAGAAAAATCTTATTCAAAATTGAGTTGTCTTTCAACTTTTATTTAATAAATGTTATTAAAAAGCTTTTTAAATTTCTGGATTCAGGATATGTATACAAATAAAGGAATGGACCCAATTCCTTAACTAGGAGTAATGTGAGACAAAGCTGGAACAAAGGCAGACTTGTGCATTTCATTTACTTGTCTTGCTTGCTTCTTTGGTTTCAAGCATCTTTTTTTTTTTTTTTTTTTTTTTTTTTTCTTTCTCCCCCCATTGAATTACCTCAATCATAAAAGTAATGATTTGATCTCAAATGAGTTACCAGAGGGGATCTTCTTTAGACTCTGAGATCATATTTGATTGATCGTATTTCAACAATTAGCCTTTTATTTTGCCACACACTATTGAACTAGATCGACAGCATCCTAGCAGGCCAGCTTTAAACAGTCAACTGTTAACAATAGCATCAAAAAGAGAGACCTGATGGGGTTTACTGTCACTTTAAAGAACAGGGTGGGTTTTCACATTGTTGAAATCTGTCAGATATTTTGAAATGTCCCTCTCACTATGGTGCCACACCCCCTGCGTGCCCTTATAATAAAATTGGTTTTACTCCTGATTAAATCATTTTCTCCCTACCCACTACCATACTTCTCATAATGGACCTGTGTGCTCTACAGCTGGTGTTCTTCCCATGGTACCAATTCTTACTTTATCTTTTAAGCACTTTGCTGCTAAGATCTCATGCAGAGTGCTTATGTTTTGTTAAGAGCTTCATTCTTAGAGAAATAGCTTAACACATGTTCTAAAAATGTTGTACAACTTATTGCTTAAAACACATTTAGAAAATGTATAAGTACTGTAGCTTTGGCACAGAACTTTAAGGAGAAACCTTAAAAAAAAAAACAAACCCACAACTTGTTTTTGCCATGCATTTGTCTTAAATGTCTGAAGTGGAATGCTTGACTTCTTAGGCTTTATAGAGACTTATCTTACCAGATTTTTGCACCATTTCCAGCTCTTCAAGGAAACGTGTTAGGAATGTATCATCGTGAAAGCAAAGGGTGTCAATTTTCCCTCTAGCAATAAGAGAGTTTTTAAAAATGTTTGCTAGAAGGAACAAATGCCAAGTCAAAAAAAAAAAAAATCAAAGAGAAAATAGAAGTCCATTCAGTGTAAGACTCTCGTTTGGTTCCCACTGGTTGAAATCCCTCACATACCATGGCGATAGGGCCATAAACAAACACACACATGTATTTCAGGCTGGGCTTAAGGGGAGGACATGACTTTTTGGCTTTACTCAGCCATATTTCTTATTGGGGTGTTTTGCTTACATAAAGATTAAATCCCAAATCTGGTATTTAAACTTGACAGTCAAGGACTGCTTTCAGTCAGGAGATACTGTATCTGGGAAGATGCTCAAAATCTCACAGTCCTAAAAATTTGCTCTAACTTGTCAGTAGTATTTGATTAGTTCAACCATCACTGCCAGTTGATATCATATATCTTAGATACAGACACAAATATGCCCAGAAAATCCCATAAAATTTATGTTAATACTTGGGCTGAAAATATAAAGACCACATTAATGAAAAAAAAAAAAAAAAGATCGTGCAGGCACCTGTCAAGGTTATTAGTTTAAAAAAAATCAATATACAACACATTTGTGAAGGGAATGTGTGTTTTACTATGGTATTATTCCTAGTAAGTCGGGCTTTTCAGAAATACAAGTTTTTAACAGCACTTGTAATTTTTGCAATAGAACCAAACTTCTTGGGTTTAAGCATACCATCATAAGGTTATCCTTGTCCAGAAAGGAAGAAAGTAATCTACGAAAAGATCAGATAAAGACAAAAAAAAAAAAAAAAAAAAAAAAAAAAAAAAAAAAAGAAAAAAAAAAAAAAAAGGAAAATCAACCAAGGCAGCCCAGAGAGCTCAGTTTTGAAAGAAAATGGATGTGGTTCCTCTAACCACATGCCCTGCCTGGTATGTAGACAAGTCTGTGGGACCAAAATGCAGTTATCTGAGAGTGCTGCTTGTTCGTTTTCCTTTTAAGATAATTTATACAAATATTTTCCCAGTTCTGTACTGTCTTTTGCCCACAGTGCCATTAAATCCCACAGCACCCTGATCAGAAGTCCTGCTTTACTTAGTGCGCTGCATCTGCCTGCAAGGGCTTTCATGGATGACCCCAAATCACATGGAAAGACACTTCCTGCAGACACAGATAGCAGCACCTAGTCCGCCATGAAAGTTGTGCCTCAAAAAACTTTCTGAAGACTTTGATGAGACATGTCAGAAAGCTTGGGAAACTTGCTGGACTTACTCATCCCAGTAGGCAGTTTACCAGTGAGAAATCCAAAACAGAGTCCTGTGGTTGAAAGAGGAAAAGAAAATTCCTCTTGCACATACTTAGAAAAGACAAACTGTCCAGTGTCATTCCTCTTTCTCAAAATTGAAGACATCTCTCTATTTTTTTTATAATGGTTAAATTCTTATAATCATCAAAAATAATTTGCTGATCACTCATGGACTTCAACGGGAAAAAAGAAAGAACAGACTCAAGGCAGACGCACACTCCTCCATCACTAAATCCCTTTGTGAGGGCTGTTCTCATGGCTGACAGCACACTGAGAACTGTACCTGCATTTAGCAACCCACTAGTGCACAGACAGAGCAGCCTCCTTCCCCACCCAGGAACGATGGGAACTCAAAATTATTGCAAAATATCGCTATATATATCAAGACAAGCAGCTTCTTTCAAAGTGATTGCGCTGAATTTAGAGTAGTAATAGAGCACAGAGACGTCCGGAGACAACCCAGCAGTGGGATGCTGCGAGGCAGTGATGGCTCTTGCCCATCATATGACAAGGAGCTCGCCCCTCAGCGATGCGGCACATGATGCTTCGCTTCCTCCTCCTCCGTAAATCCCATCCTGACATTGCATTTCATATACACACCCCAAAGTGCACGCGGTCCCTTGGACTCTGATTAAATAGCACAGCACAAGTCGCAACTCATGCAGAGCAATACTTCCCTCAGTCACCCAGATTTTTGTGGGTCCTCTCCCAGCTAAACAGTTCTTCCTCTCTCCCTTGCCAGGTGTGGGTTGTTCGCTGTCCTGCCTGCACCCAGTGCATGGTCCTTCACTTCCAAGAGTGTTTAAACAAATAAAAAAAAAAATCTCAGCTAAGCAAATAATTAAATTTTGCGTACAGTGTATTTCTAAGCAGCTTCTGCTGAATCCATCTGATGCTACCGTTGATGAATTATCAAGGATATAGTCAGCAAAATAAAGCTTGCTTGCTTTACTCCTTCTCTGCTAGAGGAACACGGCATGCTGTTTTAACAGAAAATTTAAGCCGTGATGTTCTAGTGCCTGAGCATTTGTTTATTATTGGAGTGCCCATTGCCATGGAGCCCAGGCGCAAATTACTGAGCAACTTATCTGAAAAGCAGAACATCTCTGTGTGCATCCAGAGTTGCTGTTTATTCCAGTTCTCCGAAATGACAGTTCGCTGACCTGGGGGCAAGCTGGAACAACCAAGTACTGCTAACTTAAATCTCAATCTGCGCCAGAAAAATAAAAGGTTTCTGTACTTGGGCACACTGGGTCATATTCATCCTCGCCCAATTCCACAGAATTCTGCAGAGT